GTTCCGGTGGTGGGGGGCTTACCGAGGCCTGGGACAGGAGCATGGACCAACCTAAGAATTGCACCGCGCCTCCGCCCCTAGCACGGCCGCGTGGATCCGTGTGTGGCTGCCGCCTGCGTGGGGCCTGAGCTCCTAACGGTGCCCACCCCGGGGAGGGGCTGCCGTGGCTTCTCCTGCTGTCGCCAGCCTGCGTGGATCTCCTGGCGGGAGCTGCCTGCGTCCCTCCCCCTCCCACGGCGGCCGAGTCCCCTCTTCTCCCCTCCCTGTCTGTGCTCAGCGTCTGGGGTTTCCGCGTGTGTCTCCTCGTGGCCCGTGCGCACGCATCCCGCCGCGAGACGGCGAGGTGGGGGTGTCCCCTTCCTGGTCCGGAGTCCCCTTCCTCCCCCTGGGCGCCCGGCCCCCCGAAAGGAAGCCATCTGGGGCGTTCAGGGCCACGGGCTCGGACCCAGCGCCCCGCGCGGCGCGGCACGGAGGGAGGGGGCGGCGGGGAGCGCGGGCGGGCGCGTCACCAAGGCAGACAGACGGGCGGGCGGGGAGGGAGGCGGCGGCCGCGGGTTCGAGCCGGCGCCGGAGCACCCCCCTCCACACACACACACACCTCCGTTACCCCGCAGCCCCCCTCCCCGAACCAGGAGCCGCACGAAATGCAATTTCCCGTGCTGGCGCCTCGGCTCCCGGGGGCGGGGGTCGGGCTGGAGGGGGGTGGCTTTCCGGGCGGGTGTTGGAAAAGAAGAGAAAGAAGGGGGGTGGGGAGAGAGAGAGAGAGAAAGCGAGCGGCGGCAGACCCCCCCTCCTCCCACCCCACCCAACGAGGTGAGCGCGGGCGCCGGGCGGGCCGGGGGCGCGGCGGGGCGGGACGCGGCTGCAGCCCCCACCCCCGCGCGCCGCACCTGCTCGCGGCCCCCGCGGGGACGCCCTGGCCTCCGAGGGCCCGGCCCTCCATTGTTGGCGGCAGCCGGCGAAGGGGGCGGGGAGGCCCGGCGGCAGCTCCCGCCACCCTCGCCTGGGCCGGGAAAGGGCATCTGGGCGGCCGATCGGGAGGGCTTGGGAAGCCGGGTCTTTTCCCATCCCCATACCGGAGTCGCTCGCGAGCGGGAGCTTCCAGCCGTGGAGGGGGTCGGGGGGGGGGGTGACTGGGAGTCAGGGTGGTGACGCATGAGGGGAGGCCACCGGTGTCCGGGGCGCCCCGCATCTGACCGCGCACGGAGGGCAGCGGCCGCGAGCTTTGTTCTTGGGGACGCAGAGCGCATGGGACCCTCGGAAAGCTAGGCCCGGGAGGACGTGCCGGCCTTCAGCGTGCGCGCGCGCTGTCGAGAAGGCCAAGTTCACGGGTGCCCGAGCTCAGCGGGGACTACTTCTCCCAGCGATTCCCCACTCCCTCCACGGCCGCCACAGCTCCCGGGGCTGGCTGTGGCCACAGGCTTGGGGAGGGGACAGCGGCGCCCCCCTGGGACCACGAGGTTGGAGACCAAGAATCCTCGCACCAAAATCTGCCTGTAAAAAAAGGCAAATCATGTGGGTCCCCTCGCGCCCCAAATCCCAGAGCTAAGGAGAAAGGCGCTTCCCCCACCGCCCTGATTTGGCTAATGGAGGGCAGGACTTGGGGGGACGGTAAAGATCCCCTCTTTGGTCACTCCACCTTCCCCAAAAAGAAGACCCCCTCCCACCTCCCCAAAGCCTTGGCTAGAACACACCCACGTGTCCGGAGCGCACGCGCGCATACGTGACAGTCACGGAACATACCCGGGCCTGTGCATGGCTCACAGGGGGGGGGGACTCCTGGAGAAAATGTAAGCACCCCCACCACTGGAAGCCAGAGCGTGGCACCTGGGTAGAGCTTCCCTGGGCACTCACACCCACAGGCCGGAAGTAAGCAGACCTTGGCCACACCAAGATCCCAGAGTACCAGGGGCCTTCAAGAAAGTTGGTGAAAAGTTGTACTGACAGGCTTGTGGGCAGGGGGTTGGTGCCTGAGCTTAACGCAGCCACAGCCCATCGTGGAGTGCCCGGGCACCCTGGCAGGCTGCAGGTGATGGCCCCTGCCAGCCATGTGGGATTGAGTCACCAGTGTTTCCTGGCCCAGCCTCAGCTGTTGGTGGGGGGATTTGGGGAGTGAACCTCAATGCACCAGAGAGAGAAGGGTGTTTTGGTGCAAAAAGGAGGGATTTAGGCATCATTTTTCTAACATATGAATTTTGATCAACTTTTTAAGAAAAAAATGTGTTTATATTGCAAAGGCAGATGGAGAAACAGAGATCTTCCATCTGCTGGCTCACTCCCCAAGTGGCCGCAATGGCCGGAGCTGAGCCGATCCTAAGCTAAGAGCCAGGAGCCTCTTCCGGGTCTCCCACGCGGGTACAGGGTCCCAAGGCTTTGGGCCGTCCTCCACTGCTTTCCCGGGCCACAGGCAGGGAGCTGGGTGGGAAGTGGGGCAGCCAGGATGTGAACCAGTGCCCATGTGGCATCCCAGTGTGCAAGGCAAAGACTTTAGATGCTAGGCTACCGTGCCAGGCCCTGACCTATGCATGTTTTTTTTTTTTAATTTGTCATTTAATTGCCTTCTTTTCTCAGTAACTTCTCACACGTATCCCAGAAGACACCCACAGACACCAGCTATCCACACATGCTGGCTCTGGGGTGAGCCTCACCAACACGCCTGGGACAAGTGAGAAGGGGGCACACCCACAGGCGCTGCCTAACTTGATCTAGGTCCTGAATGGCTTTGCCCCACCAGGCCGGTTGGGCAGGGGGGGAGGAGGAAGTCCCAGCCACACAGGGACTTCAGGGGGACCTTCTTCCCCCCCTCCCCGCGAGGAATGGAAATCTGTCAGTGCAAGGCCCTGGCTGCCAGGCCGTGCCCACTCACACAGGTTGCCAGTTCCATCTCCCCACCTCTCCCCCAACCCCACCCCCCTTGGTTTTGAACTAGATGCTGGGCTGTGGCTTCCCATCTCCTTTCTGTCTTCTGGCCTCCGACCCCCAGATCTGCGCCGGCTGCCTGGCTTTCCTGGGGGACAGGGTTAAGCCCTGCCTGCACTGGCTGACCCGCTCTGCCGCCCACCTTCAGGGAGGGAGTGGTTTGATAACAGGGGGAGGGGAGGATCCCCCCAGCATGGGGCCGGAATGTTACACCTCCCAGACCCCCGGGAGCTAAGCTTGCATAGCAAGCTCTTCTGAAGGTATCTGGGAGCCCCAGCAGCTGTAACCAGAGGCAATATATTGTATTCGTCCTTGTATTCACTGCTTATCACCTTCACATGCTGCCATTCAGCTTGGTTCTGGCACCACCCCCTACCCCTGACCTGCTCTCCCGGCCCCCACTGCTGATCTGGATGGGGATGGGGGCTCCAGCTGGAGGATGGGGGGGGGGGCTGTGGTGAAGCAGATGTAGGGCACTCAAGTTGAAATAGTTACACTGCTGCTCCCAGCTTTCTGAGCACACAGTTGGCACCTAGTGTTGACAGACCCCCCAAGGCAGCATTGCTGCGACCCTGCCTGTCCTGGGGTACTGGTGGGGGAGGTCCCTGAGATCGTGCCAAGGGTCTGGGGGAACATTCAACCAGTCGGTGAGTTTGGAGGCCTCAGGCAAACCATCGGCAGTTGAGTGGACCCTGAGGCCTGGAATGCCATCGTCCTCATCAAATTCTGGGGAAGCCCAATTCCCACATCTGGGGGTGCACACACCCCGCCCAAGTTCACAGTCAACATTCATTGTTGTTGGTGGGTTGTGAGGACACAGGCCAGACCCACCGGCAGATGGATGCCACTGTGGCTGGGCCACACAGCCTGGGGGGAAGGGGAGGGTGGGGCTGAGCCCGGGGCCTGAGATGGGGGGCAAGGCTGGGACGGCCCGGGTCCTGCTGGCATGCCATGTGGGTTTAAGGCCTGGCTGCTTCACTTCCGACCCAGCTCGCTGGGAAAGCAGATGTGCCACGTGCTTGGGGCCCTGCCCCAAGTGGGAGACCAGATTGGTCCAGTTTTTTTGTTTTTTAAGATTTATTCTATTTTTATTGGAAAGTAATATACACAGAGAGGAGGAGAGACAGAGAGGAAGATCTTCCACCCATTGATTCACTTTCCAGGTGGCTGCAATGGCTGGAACTGCACTGATGCAAAGCCAGGAGGAGCACAAAGCCTCTTCCGGTCTCCCCCGCGGGTGCAGGGTCCCAAGGCTTTGGGCCGTCCTCCACTGCTTTCCCGGGCCACAGGCAGGGAGCTGGATGGGAAGCGAGGCTGCTGGGATTAGAACCAGCGTCCATATGGGATCCCGGTGTGTTCAAGGCGAGGACTTTAGCCGCTAGGCCACCACACCAGGCCCTAAAAATAAATAAATCTTAAAATATCTATCTATCTGAGGAGTGTTATGCTGCCACCCGGGTCACGTTGCCCTGGAGGTGTCTCCCTCAGCTTCCCCCTCCAGCCAGGGCTGCTCTGCCCTCCCAGCCTCTACCTTTCGGGTCCTGGTCTAGACTTCAGACTTCTCAATTGGCAGCTGGAGTGTGCCTGTGAAAACTCCCCCCATGCAGGGAGGGCCTTGTCCTTACTCTTCCTGCCCCCAGCAGACTCCCCCCCTCCCCAGGAGAGAGCCCGGGGCCACCTTCCTGTCAGAGACAATGAATGTACCCCAGGGGCAGGCACCTGCTCCTTCCGCAGCCCAAGGGGGAGAAGGAAGGGTTACTAAGTTTCAGGGGTCACTCTAAAGGCAGAGTTTCCAAGCCACCTGCTGGTAGATGCCAGAGGGGGTAGGAAGGCCAGGCCCTCCCTAGAGGCTGGGGAGGGCCCCCCACCACAGCCACCCCCCTCAGTCAGGACCCCCCACTTGCCCACCTACCAGGAACCTCCTGTCTGCTCTGCCCTCAGCCCCCTCCCCACACACTCACCCCTTGGAGGTTATAAAGCTCAGGATTGAATGCAAACTGCCCAACTCCAGGGAGAGGCCAAGAGCAAAGAGAGAAAGACACAGGCGGGAGAGAGGCAGGCCTGGGCCTGGCCCAGCCACCATGGGGACCTTCAACTTGTGGACCGATTACCTAGGGCTGGCGCGCCTGGTAGGGGCGCTGCGCGATGAGGAGGGGGACCCCGGGGCCACCCTGGAACCCCAGCCGCAGGCGTCCACGCCCACGCCCAGGCCCGCAGCCCAGGAGGTGGAGGAGGAGGACGCTGAGCAGGCCGCCGCTGCCCTCATGGACACCCCGGAACCCCCCGAGCCCCTGCCAGGGGCCCCCGAACGCCTCTGCTCCTTCTGTAAGCACAACGGCGAGTCGCGGGCCATCTACCAGTCGCACATGCTCAAGGACGAGGAGGGCCGCGTGCTGTGCCCCATCCTGCGTGACTACGTGTGCCCGCAGTGCGGTGCCACGCGGGAGCGCGCCCACACCCGCCGCTTCTGCCCACTCACCGGCCAGGGCTACACCTCCGTGTACAGCTACACCACGCGCAACTCGGCCGGCAGGAAGCTCTTCCGGCCCGACAAGGCCAAGACGCAGGATGGCGGCGGCCATCACCATCACCGCCACCGCCGGGGCGGCGGGGGAGCGGCTGCAGGTGCCTGGCGCGACCCAGGGGGCGTGGGGGGAGTTTGGCCCGCAGGAGGGATGGCTTCCATCGGCCTTTGGTTGGGGCAGGACTTCGCTGTGTGGCCTTGGGTCAGTCACTGACCCGCTCTCCTTGGAGTGGCAGGGAGATGCCAGTTGGACACCCGTGTTGGGGTAGTTTCCGGAACAAGGTGTTGAGGGCGGGTGGGAAGCAAGGCCCAGGCATTGGGATGGTTTTAGGGGGTGCAGGGTGGCGGGAGCAGGGGGAGGTATCCAGGTTTGGGGATCCCCAGTTGGCTGCAGATGGCTGGGGACTGGGCCAGGCTGAAGCCAGGAGCCTGGCATGCCACCCGTGTGGGTGCAGGGACCCCATGCACCCGGGTCACCCCCCACTGCCTTCCCGGGGTGTGCGAGAGGCTGGGACTGGGAGCAGGGTTTGAACTTGGGACCATGCAGGATGTGGGTGTGCGGAGGCCTAAGGGACAGAGTTAGGGTCACAGGAGCATTGCCCCCGCCCCCCGGTAGGGTTTCCCAGGCCTTTGGGTCAAGGAGGAGCCCTCACTGCCAGCCCGAGGTGCCCCCAGGACGATGCTGGGGTGTTTGTGGGGTGGCTCTCTGGCCGGGGTGGCCACTAGGTGCCGCCCGAGCCCTGGCAGCCCCGCGGACTGCAGTCCAAGCTGCCCCCGCTGAGGGTTCCCTTCCACACGCAGGCTCCAGGGGTGCCAGCAAGCAGGGACCTTCGGCCTAGCCCAGACACGGAGGACAGCGCCGCGCCCGCACCGGCTTCGCCGACCTGGCTGCGCTCCTGGGAGACGATGGGCTGCAAGGCTTCAGCCCCACGCCCGCTCTGCCCTGCCCAACCCTCCCCTGCGGGCACCCGGACTGCAGCTGGTGCCCTGTGGTGGGGGAGAGCGGGGAGCTGCTTGGGGCTGCCCAGGGCCAGAGCTGGGCCACAGCATCCTGCACCCCCACACCCCTCTTCCCCACAGGGACCTGCCCAGGAGCTGGGCAAACCCTCGGGGTGCAATAAATGCTTATGAATGGCTCAGCCAGTCGAGGCCCTGCCGCGGGAAGCCTCGCTGGGGTGACCCCTGGCCACCCCGAGGTGCCTCTCTGAACACGCTCTGAGTCCGGGTCACCACACTGACGTGGCTTGCTTCCTGCCAGGGAGGCGGGGGAGACAGTGATGGCCCCTCTGGGTGCCCAGTCACCCCGGGGTGGGGGTGGCAGAGAACAAGGCGGGTCCTGGGCAGGGCTGGGGCACCAGTGGGAGCAGCCTGGAGCCAGCCTGTGGGTCAGCGCCCCCGCCTCCATCCGGGAGGGTGTGTGCTTGCTGTACCCTCCCATGTGGGTGCACACACACGCGTACTTACACACGTGGTGCACGCTCTGAATACGCCCCTCACGCCCCTCACACACATACGCCCCTCACACACATACACACCCTGCCGTGGGGACCCCCTGTGAGTGGGGACCCCCTGTGAGTGGGGACCCCCTGTGAGTGGGGACCCCCTGTGAGTGGGGACCCCCTGTGAGTGGGGACCCCCTGTGAGTGGCCTCAGCCAGGCAGGAAGCCCAGAAGGGCTGGAGGAGGGGACAGGGGGTGCACACAGAAATCACTGGGCCTCTCCACAGTCCTTTATCAAATGGAAGTTTCCAGAACCTTGGGATTCAATCGGCAAACCTGAACAAATGCTGGGGGTGCAGGGCGGTGGAGGTGATCCCAGTGAGCTGGGGGGTGACAGTAGGGGTCCCTCCCACCACCCCCGCCAGCCCTGGATCCAGGGGTGGCATGTGGGGCGTGGGAAAGGGCCCCCTGCAGGCCACAAGGCCACACCCCCTGCTGCTGCTTTGGGAAGGGGCGGGCCTACAGGTCTTTGCGGGGCTGCTGCGGGGGCGCCCCGGCCCTCTGGCGGGCGGAGGGCGCAGGGCCTCGCCCAGCTTCCCCTGTCGCCGGGGCTTTTGGCTTCCGGTGCTGCCCGCGCCTGAAGGCATCCAGGTCACGGTGGGCGCTCATGATCAGGCGGCTGTGTGGGGACACCCGGGGTCAGGTGGGGGGACACGTGGGGCCAGGCGTGGGTGTGCATGCGGGGACACACACAGGGACATGCTTGGTCAGGTACGGGTGCACACAGGGACGTGCGGGGCCAGGCACGGTGCGCACAGGCAACAAGCACGCACACAAAGCCCCCGCCCGCAGGACCCTCACTCACTTGAGATTGGAGAGCTCCAGCACCAGGCCCTGGACCGTGTGGCTGGCGTCCTGCAGCGGGGAGGCCTCGGGGGGCCTGTGGGGCCTGGGGGAGAGGTCCGGGTAGCCCTGCAGCTGGGTCGGGCAGCACCGCGGGCACAGGGTGCCTCCCTAACCCACACAGGATTCTAGAAAGTTCTTTGCCCAATGTCTTCTGCTCCAAGGTGGTGGGGGTGCATCCCTGACCACCAGGGAGACATTTTAACCCCACTCAGCCACCCGGCACACACCCACCCGGCCCCGCAGCTCAGGGCAGCCCCAGGACGGGGCAGGCTCAGCCCGCAGCCCCTCTGCTGTGACGGACACCCAGGCCCCACGCCCCCGTGGGGTGCGGAGGGGGTGGCACAGGCTTTGTCCCAGATGGGATGCCCCCATCACTGTGGGACCGGGACAGGGAGTCAGGCCAGAACTGGAACCAGGGAACTGCTGCCTGGGGACCCCAGGAGGAGGCAAGAGTCACACACACCCGCACCCACACGTACCATCACACACTCTCGTGAGTGCATTGCCATATACGCACACCGTTCTCATGTTGGCTGTCACACCTCCACTCACACGTCACACTCCCACACAGCAGCCCCCATGCGCTCACACGGCTGCCACACTCAGCTCCCCCACTCAGCTCCCCCACTCAGCCACACACAGTCTCACAGACCACACTCCCACAGCCCCCACACTCCCAGGCCGTTTCTCTCTCTCTCTCTCTCACTCACACACACACATACACACACACACACACTTGCACACTGAAGGAGCTGGCAGGCACCTACCTGGGGTGCGGTCAGCTGGGGAGGGCAGGTCAAATCCACTGGCACCCCGGGGGAGCCCAGGGCCAGGGCTGGGAGTGGGCACGGTTCCGCAGTCCCGAGCCCTGCGGGGTCCCTGCCCCGGCACCCCCACAGGTGTGGGGCTCCTTGCAGAGCCAGGGCTTGGCTCCGTTACGAGCCGGGGGACGGCGGCGACCAGAGAGCGGGTGCTGAGGCGCGCCCTGGCCCTCCTGGTTAAGATGGGAACCTGAAGCCTGTGGGCAGAGAGGGGGTCCTGGGTTGCCTCTGCCCACCGCATACCCACCTCTGCGGTGGCTTGGCCGCTGTGACAGCGTCTCCAGGGGCACAGGAGCTGGGGTTAGGCCAGCACGGACTTGGCCTGTTCACTGCAGGGCACCCCTAAGGAGAGAGAGAGGGAGAGAGAGGTCAGTGGATGGATGGCCCGGCCCTGACAGGAAGAAGTCACACGGGGGACCCCGAGTGAGCGGGCCAGGGTCAGCGGGAAAGGAAGTCCAAGACGGGCAGACCTAAGGCCACCAGCCCAGGCGTCTCCCCGTCCTCATGCCGCAAAGGCAATGAAAGGCGCTTGGGGCCCTGCTCCCGCGTGGGAGACCTGGAGGCGGCTCCTGGCTTCGGATGGACCCAGCTCTGTCTGGTTGTGCTGGCCGTTTGGGAAGTGAACCAGCACATGGAAGCTCTTTGTGTCTCTGTTTTTAAGTTAGCCCTCCTAATCAAAATAAATAAAATCTTTACTCTAAATAAATAAAAATGAAAGTTGAGAAGTTAGCTGCAGCTCCGTGTCACACTGCCTGCCGGCCTGTCCTGACCTGCGGGGACCCTGGGGGCTACACAGGCTGGTGGTCAGCGGCCAGTCCCGTGGGGACCCCGAGGTGCACCCCTTGGCGGATCAGGGGAAGGGGTGAAGTCCACAGGGAGGAGCCCCGATCCTGCCATGGTGAGCTGGCCTTTGCCCCGTTCCCCGGTGCCCCTCGCCTTCCCGGCCTCCAGGCCTCAGGGACCTTCCCACGGGAACCCGGCTGCTGGCGGGGTTGCCCTGACTTGTTGGGGAATGTCCGGGCAGGCACTGCCAGCCTTGCCAGGCTGCCAGGCAGGTCTGACGACCCTGGTTGTTTGCACCCAAGAGCCTAGACCAACCTCTGTTGCTTTTCCCAGGAGCAGCAGGAGGGAGCTAGATGGTAAGTGGAGGAGACGGGACTCGAACTGGTGCTCCTGTGAATGCCAGTGTCACAGGAGGCAGCTCCACAGTGTTGGGTTTTTCATCTCTGCACGTAAGGGGAGCTTCACAACGCTCGTGGAGGTAGGAGCGGGCATCTGTCCCCTGCCCCGATTCCAGCAGCCGGGAAGCGAGCCGCGGCTTGGCTCATTGGGCTCTTGCGGGCCACGAAGGGGGCAGAGGTGGAGTTCCAGGTTTCTGGCTCCGCTGGCTCCAGCCCTGTTCTAGGCATGTGGCCACTTGCGGGTGAGCCAGCTGACGTGCGTGCTCTGCCTCTCTAACAAATACCTAAGGACCTGGAGTGGTAGCCTAGTGGCTAAAGTCCTTGCCTTGCATGTGCTGGGATCCCATATGGGCACTGGTTCTAATCCCAGCTGCTCCACTTCCCATCCTGCCCTGGAGCTGCCATCTGCGTCCCCGCACAGTCCCAGGGCTCCTTGTCTTCCCGTCCCTGCGGGCTGCTGGGCCCCTGCCCCTGAAGGCCAGCCTGTGACCTCTCTCACCTGTTCAGGCGGGGCTTGCAAGTCAGGGCTGTCCAAGGCATCCTGGATCAGGCTGTCGGGCAGGAAGTCGAGTTCACCTGCTGAAGATGCCTCCCACGCGGCAGCCGCCTGGACCGCAGCAGCATCAGCAGCATGGGGTAGGCGCTTGGGCCCAGCAGCTGGGGCCAGGGCCGGGGCTGGAGCCAGGGCCGGGGCTGGAGCCAGGGCCGGGGCTGGAGCCAGAACTGGGGCTAGGGCTGGGGCCAGGGCTGGAGCCAGAGCCGGGGCAGGGGATGAAGCTGGGGCAGGGGCTGGAGTTGGAGCCTGGGCCGGGGCAGGGGCTGGAGCAGGGGCCGGGGCAGGGGCTGGAGCAGGGGCCGGAGCTGGGGCCGGAGCCGAAGCTGGTGCTAGAGCCAGGGCCAGGGCTGGAGTTGGAGCCTGGGCCAGGGCAGGGGCAAGGGCTGGGGCTGGGGCTGGCCCCAGAGTTAGAGCAGGGTCTAGGGTTGGAGCTAGGGCTACAGTGGCCGGGGTCAAGGCTGGGACTGGGCTGTCTGGGCAGGACTGGCTCCTTTCCTGGGGGCCATCGGCTACTACAACGCTGCCCCCAGATACAGTGGAGGTGCCAAGGACTAAGCTGAGCCCCTCGGGGTCTTGCTGGCCGCCCTGGCCACTGAACTCTGCCCCTAGGAGGTAGGAGCCTAGCCCTTGTGTCAGAGTCACACCTGAGGCCACATGGCCAGAATCTGCCTGACCTATCAGGGGGTCAACACTGTGGGGCCCCACAAGGATTCCGTCATGGTTATCTTCCTGCCCTGCCTCCCCTGCACCTCCTAGCGTGTCCCTCAGCAGGGCCTGGCTGAGGCCTGCGGCAGGGGCCTCGCTGCTGGGGGAGGCGGGTGACCTGGTGGCAGCTCCAGCCACCCACAGAGCCCTGTGCTCTGGCACGGGGGGCGTCACATTGGGAGCATCTGCAGTGACAGCAGCAGCCTGCGAAGAGCACCCGGGGCTGCCAAG